CCCCAAAACCCCAAAACCCCAAAACCCCAAAACCCCAAAACCCCTGAGAGAAGCAATGTATTGCAGTTTTTATCAGGAATTAATAGTTAAACATTTATGAGTTAGTCTTTGTCTACTTATGCAACCTTACCAGCCTCATTGGTTGAATGATCCTCTACTGACTCGGTGTCACTATATTTCCCATTGAGTTTATTTTCAGATTTGGAAAGCTTACTTTTATTCTTCTCTTTGGATATTTCCTTGCTAGCTGGAATTTCCTCATCTTGAGCCATTCTTTGGTCACCTTCATCGTCATATTCTTGTTTTTCTTCACCTTTGAGGTAATCTACGAGTTCTTTGACAGATTCAAATTCTTTGCCTTCTTCAACTCTTTGAAGGGAGGTTTGTTCTTCTTCGATTTCGTCACTCTGGGCCACTCTCCAGAGTGTTATCATCTCTTCACGACAGAGTTCGAGCCAGTCATCCATCTTCTCTGTAGTTTGGCATGTGACAGGGCAAACTGTGAAGATGCAGTTGGCTACTCAGATCTCTCCTGTGTCTACCTGGATATTTATGTCTTCTGGATCTGAATCCATCAACTTTGCTGGGGCTCCCCCGGCATTAGCTGAGGTCACCATCAGATAGACATCAGTTCAGTGGTCGACATAAAGAGAAATCAGGAAGTTCAATTCTGATTTCGCACTATTGAGTAGCTTTGTACTGGCAGTACTTGCTGACTCTATTCAACTGAAAATTCGATGTGTTCAGATAAATTTAGTCTCACTCAAAGAATTACTGTACAGCTCTTCTATGTGCTTCATTAAGTTTCACAGGTAATCAACTTTGAGCTTTTTGTTAGAGGTATTAATCTGGGACAACTTTTTATCATTGCTGCCTGTACAGTAAAGTTCCATTCCATCTATCAGGACAAGCTTGGGCCTATCCTTAAGTAGGTGGAAATCGATCAGATAATTGATCAGCCCTTCGCTAGTATCTATGTACTTCATTTTAATGTTCTTTAGGACATCTATAGTGACTTCTGAGTAAGTTCCAAAAACTAGGCTATTTTCCTTCATTTTCTGCTTAGAAGTGATGTACACAACATAAGGTGCTGGTGAATCCTTGCTCTCTTTTTGATCTTCAATGTCTCGTTCCCTCTCACTGAGCCATTCTTGCAGATAGATGTACCCGAAGTTCAGAATTGAGGTGGTCTTGTATCCTTGTGAAGTTCCCAGAATTATCTTCATTTTTGACTAAATTTCAATTAAAATCAAATATTTTGGGGTTTTGGGGTTTTGGGGTTTTGGGGTTTTGGGG